TGGTGTGCTTTTTTTTTTTTTTTTTTTTTTTTGCTATAGGGTGCGTGCACTTGCCCAAAAGACAGAGAGAAACAGAGAGACAGAAAGCGAGAAATCACCACCACCACCACCCCCCCAGGGAGGATGGCCACGCAGCAATCCCTTCTCCTCCATTCTCCTCTCGGGATCTTGGGCACTCATGCATACGCACCTGGCGTGAGTTTAAGCCACCGGGTCCAGAACTCGAACCACGGTCAACTGACTACATGGGAGTCTAGCAACATAGCCATTACACTAACTGCTGGTCCCTCTTGTTTAAGATGTTAATAGTAGGGCAGACTGTGCATTGTGTGAACTAAGACTCTGTAGTTTCCATTCAGCTCTGCTATGAACTAAAACTGCTCTAAAATATAAAAATAAAATGAAATAGTTGATTTTTAAAAATGGAAACACAGAGAAGATGAGTAAGTTGCCTAGGCTATGAAGGAGGGGAACAGGGATTTTGCCAAACCCAAAAAGATTGATTGAGCATGGCCATTTGAGCAGAGAATTGCAAGATGAATGGAAGTTAGCTGGACAGAAGCAAGAGACTTGATGGTCAGGAGAGAAGGGGCCACATCCTCTTTCCGATTCCTTTTCCCTAGAGCACATGCCCTTTGGCAATTAAAAAAACACAATTGCTTCTCGCTGCCACTTGTGCCGCTGCCATGTCTCTAGTGATCCCTGAGAAGTTCCTGCACATTTTGCGAGTACTCAGTACCAACATCAATGGGCAGCAGAAAATAGCCTTCGCCATCATTGCCATTAATGGTGTGGGGCAAAGATATGCTCATGTGGTGTTGAGGAAAGCAGACATTGACCTCACCAAGAGGGCAGGCGAGCTCACTGAGGATGAGGTGGGCCGTGTGATCACTATTATGCAGAATCCACGCCAGTACAAGATCCCAGACTGGTTCTTGCACAGGTTGAAAGATGTAAAGGATGGAAAATACAGCCAGGTCCTGGCCAACGGTTTGGACAACAAGCTGCATAAAGACCTGGAGAGACTGAAGAAGATACAGGTCCATAGAGGGCTGTACCAATTCTGGGGCCTTCTGTCTGAGGCCAACACACTAAGACAACTGACCCTCATGGCTGTACTGTGGGTGTGTCCACGAAGAAATAAGTCTGTAGGCCTTGTCTGTTAATAAATAGTTTATATACCTAAAAATAATAATAATTGAAAAAATGATGCAACTGGGCCAGCAGGCAAAATGGTTAAAGTGTTGGACTTTCACGTGGCTGACCACAGTTCAAGTCTCAGATCTGGCAGCTTTGCTTTCTCACTTTCTCTTTCTCCATTGGGACCAGCAGTTAGCGTAATGACTATGTTGCTGGACTCCCATGTAGTCTACCGCGGTTCGTGTCCCGGACCCGGTGGCTTAAAACTCACTCTGGGCGCGTGTGCGTGCATGCCCAGGATCCAAAGAGGAGAATGGAGGAGAAGGGACTGCAGCGTGGCCATCGCCCCTGGGGGGTGATTTCTCGCTTTCTGTCTCTCTCTCTCTCTCTCTCTGTCTGGCAAGCACATGCGCCCTATAGCAAAAAACCTCTCCAAAACAAATAAATAATAAATTTAAATAAATAATTCTTGAAAGAAAAATGATCCAATAATTGGATGTCTTCTGGATCCTTGAGCACCAGGAGCCTCTATTGGCTCTTACCTAATTACTTTATGACCTATCGATTTTTCTGTCTGCTTCCCCTGTAATTGCTGTGCTCCTTGTATGTTTTGAGGAGAAAGCAAACAGACCTTCTTCTAACAAAGGGATTGTGCAAATGACAAAACAAATGGGGTAAAGCGTTAATAATAGTCGAATCTGGGTAAAGGACACAGAAACTTCCTTGTAATACTCGTTTACAGCTGGTCTAAATGTGAAATTATTTCCAAATATAAGAAAAAACAAGATGACTGACTTTGGGAAACTAGCCAATCTTGAAGTAACTAATCGGAAGTAATCATAGATTAAGAAACTGGCATTCATAAGGAATAATTCGTGTTGTGGAAACATCAGAGATCCAAGAGGGTGGGAGACCTTAAATTCAGATCCCGCGTTGCTAATTAGTGATCCTGGCAAAATTGCCTGAAGCAGTCTCAGAACTTCAGTCCTTCCATTCGAGAGCGCCACTGGGATGATCAAATGAAAGACGTGATGAATGCTTTTCGTAAACTTTAAGAGATTACTGCTGCTGCTGCAGAAGGAAGCGTTTAACAATAAGTTATTAATAAAGCTCAAATTGCTTTTCATGGTTCTAAAACTGCGGCTGCCCCACTGTCGGTTTTCAAAGGCTACAGGTTTTCCTCCGGGTTGGCTCACGAACGCCCACTTTCGCTCATCCAGGTGGGCGGTGCACGCACCGCTGGCGTCTCCAGGTGGCCCGGGTAGCTGCCGGAAGGCGCAGGCGCAGAGCGGACCTAGTGCGGGCCTGGACCTGCATCGCGGGACCTCGAGCTCGCTCTGGCCCCGCCCCCTCTCGAACGCCATCGCGGTATCGTCTTGGAAACGCATTCTCCAGGAACCCGCAGGCACCAATGGGAAAGGAGCGAGTGCCACGAACAGGCCAATAAGAAGGGAGCGGTGCGGGGTTTAAATCTGAGGCGGAGCCCTGCTCTCCCGGCGTGCTGAGCAGGAACGGCTGTTGACTTGTGCTAGTTCAGGCCCTTGGCTCGTCTGGAGCTCCGGTTCTGCTTCTCCCTGCGAAGCTGCTGTCTGGTGAAGAGGAAGCCATGGCTCTCCGAGTCACCAGAGTGAGTTACTGCGGGCCGTGAAAAAACGCGACCTTCCCAGCTGCATGCCTTCTCAGCTCCACGTTGCCTGCCGGGAGCACCCACAGGGGTAGAGAGTTGCGATAGCCATCTGGGGAGAAGGGGAGAGGGTCACCGAGAGAGCTCCGAGGTGGGCTTCTGGCATGGCCATGGAGCTTGGGAGCGTTGGAATGAGGACGGTGAGAAAGAGCTGGCCCGATCTTGGATAAGAGCTTGGGGCTCCGGAGGTGGAGGGTGGAGGGTCTTTCTAAACAGTGATGGCGCCTAAGTGAGCCTTCCACCAACTGCGTAATCCCTTCCTGGAGAGAAGGTGTCCGCAATAGGAGGCGTTCTCGGTTTCCTTTCGAATGTACATTCACAGTATTTTCGGGCTGGCGACCGCGTCACAGTAAATTTCTTGATAAATGAACGAAGAAGTTTTGGGAGGAAATCGATTTGTCACAGTAAACCTTGGAATCCTATTGTAATCCCTGGAAGCCCGTTTTCTGCTGTTCTTTCCTAGAGTATCTCTTGTGCCCCACCTTAATTAACCCTTGAATTACCCGAGCCTCCGTGGACCAGCTCTCAAAATGGTTTTACTTCTTTCAGAACACGAAAATTAATGCTGAAAATACGAAAATCAGTATGGCAGGTGCAAAGCGTGTGCCTATGGCCACTGCTGCAGCCTGCAAACCCGGGCTGAGGCCAAGGACAGCACTTGGAGACATTGGAAACAAAGTCGGTGAACAGGCCAAAATGCCTCTGAAAAAGGTAACTGTCAAACTGACCCAGCCTCTCTGTTAGAGCTCACCTTGCAACTGTGACTCTTGGTAAAGAAACATTTTATTCTCTACTTTTCCTCTGCAGGAAGCAAAAACTTCAGCTACTGGAAAAGTTACTGCTAACAAACTTCCAAAGCCCCTGAAAAAGGTGCTTGAGCCTGTTCCTGCTCCTGAGCCTGAACCAGAACAAGAGCAAGAACCGGATCCAGAGCCAGAGCCAGAGCCAGAGCTAGAACCTGAGCCTGAGCCTGTTAAAGAAAATTCTTCGCCTGAGCCTATTTTGGTAATCTCATTTCTTACATTTTAGTCTGTTTCTTTTCTCTCATTTTACTGATGTTTGGAACAATGTTCGAATAAACAAATATTTATTGAATGCTTAGCAGGAAGCAGGTTTTGCTAAGCTCTTTACATGGATTAAGGCACATAATCTTTATATATACTCTCTGTGGTAGGTATTGTTTTTACTTTTTACATAATGACTTAAAGGATCACACAATTATTAAATGGCACAGAAGGGATTTAAGCCAAGGCTGTCTGGCTTCAGAAACTATGTGTTTAATTGCTTGTTTGTGTTGCCCCCTTGGCTAATGGTAATAAGCAATAGCTAAGATTTTTGTTGTACAAATACAAACCATCTCTGTCCAGAATGTATTAATTAAGACACAGACTATTCTTTGAGTTTTTTTTTCCCCTGCCTAAAATGGCCACTAAATAAACCTGTAACATTGGAATAAATGAAAGAATGTAACAGAAAGAAAATGTAGCTCTTCAGTGTGGGAAGAAGATGAATTAACAGGACCAGCAGATAGCATAATGGTCATATCACTGGAATCCCACATAGTCGATAACAGTTCAAGTCCCAGATTTGGAGGCTTAAACTCACTGGGCACATCTGCTTGTCTGCCCAAAACCTTGAGAGGAGAATAGAGAAGGGGTTGCAGGGTGGCCATCCCCCTCGGGGGATGATTTCTTGCTTTGTTTCTCTGTCTCTCCAGCGAGCATATATACCCTATAACAACAACAACAACAAATCTCTTTAAAAAAAGGAAAAGATAAATTAACACTTAGTTTCATAAATCAGTAACTTTCTATTAGTATGAGGTACATTTCAAAAAGTTTATATGAAAATGAAATTAAAGTATGACTTTGGGGCAAAAAAATTTGAAATTCATGCATAATGTTTTTTTCTTTTTTTTTTTTGGTGAGGTTTTTGCTGTAGGGTGTGTGCGCACGCCAGAAAGGCAGAGAGAGGGAACCAGCAGTTAGCATAATGGCTATGTTGCTGGACTCCCACGTAGTCGACCGCAGTTCGCGTCCCGGACCCGGTGGCTTAAAACTCACGCTGGGTACGTGTGCGTGCGTGCCCAAGATCCCGAGAGGAGAATGGAGAAGAAGGGACTGTGGCATGACCATCCTCCCTGGGGGGTGATTTCTCGCTTTCTGTCTCTATGTCTGTCTCTGTCTGGCGAGCGCACGCACCCGATAGCAAAAAAACTCTCCAAAAAAAAAAAAAAAAGAAAGGCAGAGAGAGACAGAAATCCCGCAATCCCTTCTCTCAGGATCTTGGGCACACAAGCACACGTGCTCAGTGTGAGTTTAAGCCACTGGGTCCGGGACTCAAACTGTGGTCAACTACATGGGAGTCCAGCGACATAGCCATTATGCCAACTGCTGGTCCCCATGCATAATGTTCTGGTAATACTCATTCCCCATGAACTTTTCAAAGACTTTTATATATGAATGTATGACTAGATACAGCTTACGGTTTTTTATAGACCATGTGAAAGAAGCTGCTTTGCTGAAATTGCAATGGGGTTATATTCCAAAGCTCATTTTTAAAACTTAGCTAAGACCGGTTGGTACAAATTATCTAAAATTTATTCAGTCTAGGGTCCAGCAGTTGACGTGATGTTTAAGGTACTGGACTCCCACATGCTGACTGCAGTTCAAGTCCTGGACCTGGTGGCTTATTTTCTCAGTCTTCTCTTTCTCTCTCTCTCTTGTGAGTGCATGTGCCCTATAGCAAAATTTAAAATAATAATAGCAATAAATAAAATTAAATCTTAAAAAATTTTATTCAATCTAGCTTCTTATTTCTAAGGATAAGAGACTATAAGCTGTTACTTGAGTGTTGAATTTCTGGACATAGGGCACATGAAACATTAAGCACACATAATGGAGATAGCCTTTCATTGGGCACATTGAACTTCCTGAGGCTTTCTTGAGACTAATACTGATCAGAACAGCTCAAACATAAACTAATGCTTTCTCTAATTTCTCTTATTGCTACTTTCATCCTATTCCTAGAATCTCATTACTTTGTCTACTCAATTCAAACCCTTTGAGGGTCAGGACCAGCAGATGGTGTGGTGGTTATGTCACTGGACTCCAACATGGTTGACTGTGGTTCAAGTCTCGGAACTAGAGGCCTGAAATTCATGCCAGGTGTGTGTGTGTGTGTGTGTGTGTGTGTGTGTGTGTGTGTGTGTGCATGCTCAGAATCCTGAGAGGAGGATGGAGGAGAAGGGATTGCACATAGCCATCCCCCTTGAGGGGTGATTTCTCACTTTCTGTCTATGTCTCTCTAGTGAGCATCCATTCCTAGCATAGAGTTTGACCTGAAGGTACTCAGTGTTTAAACAATAGAGTGAAAGATGCTTAAAGGAAAATGGTTAATGATAACGAGGTCAGTTAATCTTGAGTAGTAAGTACAGAACTTGTATGCTCCTGAGTAATGAGAAGTAGTCCATGTTTTGAAATAAATACTGACTTGTCATTCATTTGGATTAGCTTAATTTATTTGCAGAAAAGTATAGAATAGTAATTATTTGCTTCTTTGTTTTATGTGTTAGCATTAAGTTGGCATTTCAGTTTTAATGTTAATCACTTCATAAAAAGAAATTTAAGTCTGAAAAGACACTTTTTCTGTAAGGAAATGAATTATATGTCTATTCAGAATGGTTTCTTGAGTTGGTACCAATACTCCAACCTTCATTCCCAGACTGTAGTATGCATTTTGCTTTGCTATTATTTCAAGAGATCTCTCTATTTCAAGGTTGATACTTCTTCTTCAAGCCCAATGGAAACATCTGGATGTGCTCCTGCAGAAGAATATCTTTGTCAGGCTTTCTCGGATGTAATTCTTGCAGTGAGTGATGTGGATGCAGAAGATGGAGCTGACCCAAACCTTTGCAGTGAATATGTAAAAGATATCTATGCTTATTTGAGACAGCTCGAGGTCAGTATTACTAGAATCTTTGTGGTTTTTTTGAACTGCATCTAGCTTTATTAAAGATCATTTGTATCAATAATTTATATAATTCATGTAGGACGTGGGCAGCTTTTCTTAATAGAATGCACTTTCAACCTCTCATTTTGGGATATCAAAAATAAAAAGTTACTAAACAAACCAATGAAATCTATTGGGTTGTCAGAAAAGTCATGACATCTTTTTCTATGTAAAAGTACATCATGACTGGGGCCAGGAGGTGGCATGGTGATTAAGGCGCTGGACCTCCCATATGACTGCCCGTGGTTTGAGTCCTGGATCTAGCAGTTTGCCTTGTCACTTTCCCTCTCTCTTTGTCTGTCTCTCTCTGATCAAATTTTTTAAAATAAATAAATAAAATAATAATAATAATAAATAAAATTAAATGAGTAATTCTTTTTAAAAATGCATCATGACTTTCCTGACAACCTAGTGTTTGCCCCACTTAGAACAGAAAAGTTCAAAGTTAGTATGGATACTACTATGGTTCTTTCTAAAGTAAAGTCCAGAGATTGAATGACTATATAGTGTGTCTGTATGTTTATATATATATATATATATATATATATATATATGTATGTATGTGTGTGTGTCTACACACATATATGCACGCACATATGCAAACACACATATATATGTACCCAAAAGAATGCATTCTTCCAAAACTTTCTACTAGTGGTACATGACCTTGACCTCCGAAATCAGTAATACATTACATATAATAACATGAACACAATAACATAAACTATACAGTTACCAGATTTACCTAATTGCTTTGGAGTGTTTTTCTGTTTTTGTTTTGTTGTTGTTGTTTTACTTGTCTGTCTTTTAATTTTGGCAGAGGACACATGAACTCACAGTGGGTGAGCATGGCCCCCAGTGGGGGATGGCCATGCTGCAATTGTTTCTTTATTTTTCCCGTCAGATTTTGGGCACACGTGCACATGTGCCCATTGTGTTTTGCAGATTGCCAGGTCCACAACTCTGAACAGTGAGCCATGTAGGATTCAGCTACCTTAACCACCACACCACTGCTGACCTCCTAATTGATTTTGTTTGTTTGTTTGTTTTAAGAATTATTTTATTGAACTTTATTTTATTTGTATATTTATTTTAATTTGAGCAAAGAGGGACAGTGAAAGAGAGAAAATGAGAAAGCAAGCCACCAGGTCTAGGACTCAAACCACATGTGCATGTAGGTCAGCCATGTGGCGAGTCCAGGGTCCTTAACCACCACGCTACCTGACAGCCCCAACCTAATTGTTTTTATACATTGTCTTCTCATAGCATCACTTATTTTCAGTTTTTTGCCTGGTCCTTTTGGGTATCTCTGTTTTCTACAGGATTCTTCTGCAAGATTTTTTGTCAGGACCAGCCTCTGGTTTGAGTTTTATCTTCTTTTTAGCGCTTATTAAGTTTGTTCTAACTCTGGAGGATTTGATTTAGTAGATCTATGTGCTGGTCTCTTTTAGTTTTCCACTATTTTTAAGCCCACCGGGTTTTGGACTTGAACCATTCCAAGGCACTTGGAATCCAGTGCCTTCGCCTCCAATGCCACCTGCTGGCCCTTTTTTTTTTTATATAATGGTGTAAGGTCTGAAGGCGAGAGAAAGCACCCCACCAGTGGGGCCCATTCATATCACAATCCTTTTTTCTTAAATTCTCCATCCCAGAGTGAAGCCAATGGGTGAGGACTTGAACCCTGGTCAGCCATGAGAGATCTAGCTTTCCTCTAGGCAGCATCTAACTACTTGCTATAGAATTGGTCCAGTCTTTGACTCATTCTTTTTTTTATTGGAGAGGTTTTTGCTATAGGGCGTGTGCATTTGCCAGAAAGAGACAGAATGCGAGAAATCCCCCCCCAGCAGGATTGGGCATACCGCAATCCCTTCTTCATTCTCCTCTCGGGATCTTGGTCACATGCGCTCGGAATGGGTTTAAGCCACCAGGTCTAGGACGCGAACCGCGGTCGACTACATGGGAGTCCAGCGACATAACCATTATACCAACGCTGGTCTAAGATGACCCATTCTTCTTAGCTATGTTGGTGTTGTGGTTTATATCTGGACCAGGAGTATGGTAGGACAGTGGGCTCTAACTGCTCTCTGAGTTACTGATAAGTCTCCCTATTTTATGAAGTTCAAATTCTGGGTTTAGTCTCTTAAGTAAAAAGATCTGAGATGATACATCAGAGCTTATTTACTGGGTTGTCAGAAAAGTCTCTGACAACCCAGTATTTGGAATGAAGTGTGGTTAGATGGTGTGGGCCAGCAGCAGTGGTGGTACATTGAACATCGTAAGATCTGACATGAAAGACCTGTGGCACTATACTATCTAATGTTCTCTTCCTTTCTTCCTCGGTGATTATAGTGACCATATGAATTAGTTCAGTTAAAAGCTATCATAGTTTCCAAATGCCCCAGAGCTATTCTTTAGTTACAAACTGATCTTCAGGACATAAATGTCATAGGAACTTTTGCTTCTAATGGTAATTGCTGCTGTCTTTTGCAGGAAGAGCAAGCAGTCAGACCAAAATACCTCTTGGGTCGGGAAGTCACTGGAAACATGAGAGCCATCCTAATTGACTGGCTAGTACAGGTTCAGATGAAATTCAGGCTGCTGCAGGAGACCATGTACATGACTGTTTCTATTATTGATCGATTCATGCAGGTGAGCACAATTCTCTCAGGGACCTAGCTGAAGCTTAAGAAAATTTTAGTCATCAGCTAAAGAAAAATCTGTCTTGGGGCTAGGGTGTCATTAACTGAGATTTTATTATGAGAGTATGTCTTCCCTACCTTATTTTTGTAGCTGTGTCTTCTTTTCAAGTGCATATTATTTATTCATGCAGTTGAAATTTCCATTGCAGAATAATTGTGTGCCCAAGAAGATGCTGCAGCTGGTTGGTGTCACTGCCATGTTTATTGCAAGCAAATACGAGGAGATGTACCCCCCAGAAATTGGTGACTTTGCCTTTGTGACTAACAATACTTACACTAAGCATCAAATCAGACAGATGGAAATGAAGATTCTAAGAGCTTTAAATTTTGGTCTGGGTCGTCCTCTACCCCTGCACTTTCTTCGTCGAGCATCTAAAGTTGGAGAGGTATAAGATTTCTTGAGAAACTTTTGGTATTACACAGTGATGGGGTAAAGATGTTTTAGTGTTGTGTTTTTTCTTGCCAGAGAGAACCAGACACACACGTGCCTAGCATAGTTTTCAAGCTTCCGGGGCTGATACCCAAACCATGACCAGCTATGTGGGATCCAGCTTTCCTAGCCAGGGGCTACCCTTTGTCTTTGTTGTTTTATTAATTCATACTGCACGTGCTTGATGTTTACGACATGCTATGGGATATTTAAAGATAAAGACATGTATAGCTACATATAAATAGCATAATGTTTACGTTAGTGAAGTTAGGTGCATATATATTTACCATTATTGTATCCTCTTACTATGTTTGATCCTCATTATATTAATATCATAATCATCTTTGTCTTTTTCTATATTTTTTCCCTTAGTCTCTTTTTATCTAGGTGTAACTATTCCTGCTTGTGGTTTCCATTTCTTTATCTGTGAAGCAAGTTCCTTATAGGCAATTCAATCTTTTTTTGTTTGTTTTAATTCACTCAGTCGATCTATAATCTTTCTCTTTATTTTTTTAATTTGCCAAAGGACGTGTGTGCTTGCCAAAAAGAAAGAGCAAAGCACCTACCTATGGGGCACAGTCACTCTGCAGTCCCTTCTCCATCACTCCCTCATTTTGAGATTTTGGGCACACAACTCACATGTGCCTGGCATGTTTCTCAAGCCACCGAGTCTGGGGCTCAAACTACACAGTCAGCCACATGGGATCCAGTTGCCTTAACCACTATGCCACAGCTGGGTCTAGTCTGTCTTTTAATTTGGGAGTTTTAGTTCATTTACATTCAAGGTTTTTTTGTTTTTTTGTTTTTTCTTGAAGAGCTTTTTGCTATAGTGCGCATGCACTCGCAAGACAGACAGAGACAGAGAGATAGAAAGCGAGAAATCACCCCCCAGGGGGGATGGCCACGCCGCAATCCCTTCTCCTCCATTCTCCTCTCGGGATCTTGGGCACACACACACATGCGCCCAGCATGAGTTTAAGCCACCGGGTCCGGGACTCGAACCATGGTCGACTACGTGGAAGTCCAGCGACATAGCCATTACGCTAACTGCTGGTCCCCAAGATTATTTTTGATAGGTGAGGACTTACTCCTATCATTTTGTTTTTGTTTTGTTTTGAATTGTCTTCATTTCTCTCTTGCTCTTGTTTATCTTTGCAGTTTGGTGGTTTTCTCTAGGGTTATTGTCTAGTCTTCTGACTTTCTCATTGTGTATCCATCTTTCTAGTTTTGTTTTAAATTTGTCAGAGGGCACATGTACTTGAGAGAAAGGGAAAGTGAAAAAGCAGCCCACGTGGGGAATGGACATTCACAATTTCTTCTCTGCCTCTCCCTCCCTTCTGGATTTAGTACATGCACGCACACACACCCAGCATGTTTTTCAAGCTACTGGGTCATAAACTCAAAGTGCCAGGTGGGATCCAGCTGCCTTAACCACCTCACTACAGGCTGGCCCAGCTACTTATTCTTTGATTTAGTCCTTTCTGTGAGAGGGAAGCACATTAGAAACCTCTAGTTAGCCACCTTACCTGAATCATAGACATATTCCTTATTTCCAGTAAGATTGTATAATAATATTATTATTAAAACCTACTATTGGCAGTTGCATTTGAGATTTTATAGACAAACATTTTTAGTTATAGGTGAGAACATGCAAGTTATTGCCAATTAAAAATTCTCCAAAAGAAGTTAACATGTGGATTTTGTTCTAGGTTGATGTTGAACAACATACTCTGGCCAAGTACCTGATGGAATTAACTATGCTCGACTACGATATGGTGCACTTTCCTCCTTCTCAAATTGCAGCAGGAGCTTTTTGCTTAGCCCTGAAAATTCTTGATAATGGTGAATGGGTAAGATCTGTATTGAACTACTAAAGTTTTTAAATTATAATATTGTGTTTGACTTAATACAGAACTTTTGTCATTAAAAGACAATATAAATGATTCCTAAATATGGAATCTACTTAAAGGAATAGTTTAAAATGATATTATCAGGACCAGCAGTTGGCATAATGGCTATGCCACTGGACTCCCATGTAGTTGACTGCAATTCGAGTCCTGGATCCAGTGGCTTAAACTCACACCAGGCCGTGTGCATGCGTGCCCAAGAACCCAAGAGGAGAATGGAGCAGAAGAGATTGTGACGTGACCATCCCCACTAGGGGGTGATTTCTCGCTTTCTGTCTCTCTGTCTCTCTCTGTCTTTCTGGCAAGCACACACGCCCAAAAACCTCTCAAAAAAGAAAAGAAAATGATATTATCTTGGGACCAGCAGATGGCATAATGGTTACGTTGCTGGGCTCTCATGTAGTCAACCATGGTTCAAGTCTCAGACCTGGTGGCTTAAACACAACTCTAGGGGTGCTTGTGTGTGTATGACCAAGATCTTGAAAAGAAAATGAAGGAGGAGGGATTGTGGTGTGGCTATTCCCCTAGATGGTTATTTCTTTTCTTTTCTGTTCTCTTCTCTTCTCTTCTTTTTTCTTTTCTTTTTCGGAGGGTTATTTATCACTGTCTCTCTGTGGCAAGCACATGCACCCTATAGCAAAAATCTTTCTTAAGAAAATAAATAAATAGATATATCTATTTATTTATTTAATTGTTGTGATTTTCAAGCCACCAAATCTGAGTCTCAAATCATGGTCATCCATGTGGGAATCCAGCACCCTAACCACCATTTCACCTGCTAGCCCTTAAAAATGAAATGTTTCATTCATAAAGTCCTTCCATTTCTCTTCCCTGTTCTTATCTTTATACATCCCGTTCAGAAAGGCAGAAATAGCTCTTACTCTTTACAGATAGAGATGCTTGAGTCGGTCAAATGACATATTGGACGTTCATTGCTATTCATTGATTCAACAAGTACTTCTGTTTCTGGCACTACTCTATGGTCTAGGAATAGAACTGTGGATGGGAACATCAGAATTAAGGAACTTGGGGGACCAGCAGTTAGCGTAATGGCTATGTCACTGGACTCCCACGTGGTCGACCGCAGTTCGAGTCCCCGACCCAGTGGCTTGAACTCATGCTGGGCGCGTGTTTGTGCATGCCCAAGATCCTGAGAGGAGAATGGAGGAGAAGGGATTGCAGCATGGCCATCTCCCCTGGGGGGTGGTTTCTCACTTTCTGTCTCTCTGTCTCTGGCAAGCACAAGCACCCTATAGCAAAAACCTCTCCAAAAAAAAAAAAAGAATTAAGGAACTTGGAGTGTGGGTGGGGAGTGGATAGGGCAGCAGTTACGATAGTGTAATTAGGGTTGCGCTCAGGTTCCTACAGTAACATGAAAACATGCCCAGTGAAGGGGGAGTCTCAGCTTGTCTTAAATTTCTGTTATAACTAGTCATACAGTACTCTTGAATAGCATCTAAGAATTTTGTGAAAATCATTACTGATGAGCACTTTTAACAGCAACTTTTGTTGGGGCCAGCAGGTGGCATGGTGGTTGAGGGCACTGGGCTCCCACATGGCCAACTGCAATTTCGAGTCCTAGACCTGGTGGCTTGCTTTCTCAGTTTCACCCTCTCTCTCTCACTCACTCTGGTTAAATTTAAATAAATAAATAAATAAATAAAGTTAAATAAAATAATTCTTTAAAAAAAATTAACTTTTGTCATCTTAGACACCAACTCTCCAGCATTACCTGTCTTATACTGAGGAATCACTTCTTCCTGTTATGCAGCACCTAGCTAAGAATATAGTCATGGTGAATCGTGGGCTTACAAAGCACATGGTGAGTCATTGGTGGCATCTGTAAGATGTCAAAAAGAAGTACAAATAGAAGTACTGACTTCATGCATGCAAATGCCTGATTTATTTTTAATGAGTTATTATTTCAAATGAATTCCTTCTAATTTTTGTTTTGTTTTCCTTCTTTGTTAAATTTTCTCTTCTAGACCATCAAGAATAAGTATGCGACATCAAAGCATGCTAAGATCAGCACTCTAGCACAGATGAATTCTGCACTAGTTCAAGATTTAGCCAAGGCCGTGGCAAAGGTGTAACTTGTAAACTTGAGTCAGAGTATTATACCTGCAAATAAAATTGGCACCATGTGCCATCTGTACATATTACGTTACATTCACTTTTAATAAAGTTTGTGGCCCTTTTATTTTTTGCAGCTTAACTCATTCAAATGTGGTTACTTCCTATTCCAGGGTAACCTAAAAAAGTTGTCTTTAAAAATATTGTAGGGAATGTTTGCAAAACTGCTTTCACTTTATCTGAGGATCCAGCTAAGTTACATAATTGTTGCCGTTATGTTTATATACATAGCTCTTCTTTTACGTTCCTGTATTCAAAACCTTTACCTCCGGAGGGCATACTGCCTATAAGCCAAGCATCGTAGAGAAGCTGCTAACTAGTTCTGTCTCAAAGTAAAAGTCTACCACCTCATTCCTAATCACCCTGTTTTCGGTTTCTTTTGGTGTGCTGCCATGATTCCAAGTGATTTATTTTTGTCTCTGTTTCTTCAGTTATTAATTTTAGCTGGTATCTTTTCAAACTTTTCACTTTGAAAAATAACTTTTTGTATTTTAAACCATGTTCTCATTTTTCTTTATTAAGAAAACGGGATGCTCAAATCAAATACAAAAGTATCTTTTAGAAAATGGTTGATTTTGGGGGTGACAGGTGGCATGGTAGTTAAGGGTGCTGGACTCCCACATGAGCAACCCGCAGTGCGAATCCTGGACCTGGTGCCTTGCTTTCTCCCTTTGTCTTGCACAAGCTCGCTCTCTTGCTCTCTCTTACTCACTCTGTCCCTCTCTGGTCAAACTAAAATAAAGTTAAATAAAATAATTCTTTAAAATAAAAAAAAAAGGTTAATTTAGTCCTGCCTTAATCTACACCTAAAAATAGCCACTGTTTGAGATGTAGCCTTGCATGCCTTATATAAATAAACATGCACATAAATTGTTAATAGGATTTTCTAAAAAGTGGTTAATTCTGTATACATAGCAATTCCCTTCAGCATGTATAGAACTGTTTGTGTATCATGTTACTGAGCTTGGGTATCCTGTAATGTGCTCATCCATTCCTCTCCAAGATTTACACTGTTTTTGACTGTTGTGTTTTTCAGTGCTACCATGGTTTTCTTTGTGTATGCTCAGCTTCCCAAAGAATGTGTAAATTTTAAGTTCTGACAGGTAGAGCCAGGTGACTTTCTCAATGTCATCAGCAATATACAAAAGTGCCAGTCTTCTGTCCTTGTTAGAACTGACTCAGTCTTCAATTTCTGTGGATCCAACTGGTTAAAAAAAAATAGCTTCATTTGTTTTAATACATAATTTTGATGGCAAGTTGAATAAAGTTTTGTTTGTTTATTGTCTGCTTTTCAATATGTGAAAGCTTTTCTAATTTGTCATTTGCCCTTTATGTTGTCTTTGGCCATGGAGAAATTTTGTTTTCATGTCATCAAATCTTTTTCTGTAGTTGCTTTTGGATTTTTAGACTTAAGGTCAACTCCATCCCCAAACTATCTACACTTTTTAAAATAATTCTTAATTTTTTTCCACCTAGATCTATAATACATAAGGCTGTTATCGAACTTTCATGTGAACTTTGAAATTATGTCTTAATACCAAAAATTCCTGGGAGATTTCTGACTGTATATTATGTACATGTGTACAGTATGTTATCGGATGAACTAGCATTTTTGTCTTTCCATTAGAAATACTTTTCTCTTTCAAGCCTTTTGCATACCCTTTAATATATTAGTATTATATAATTCTGTAATTTTCCTGTCGACTTTATTACTAGATTTGTGGTTTTTCTCACTATTACAGCTGGATATATTTCCCACTATAATTTTTAAAATTATATTTTAGAATTATTTAATTTGATTTATTACTTTTATAAATAATTATTTTATTTTAACGTTATTTATTTGTTTTCTTTTGACCAAAAGCTACCAGGTCCAGGACTTGAACTGCGGTCAACCATGTGGGAATTCGGCACCCTTAACCACCACCACCATTTGCTGGCCCCTATTATTATTTTTTAATTTGACCAGAGAGACAAAGAAAGTAAGCCACTAGGTCTGGGATTTGTATCGTGATTGGCCATATGTGAGTCTAGGCCCTTAACCACCATACCACCTGCCAGCCCCCCTCTATAATCTTTATTGCTAGTTGGATTTTTGTTTATCCATTTGACTTACTAATTTTCCTAAGTAGTTTTTTAGAGAATTTTCCAAACCTTAAGTCCATAAATTATTTTCTTGATGTTTATGAGAATTTAGTGTATTAAAATCACCAGAATAATCAATGATAATAGGTGGGTCCAAGGCCAGCAGGTGGTGTGGAGGTTAAGGCAGCTAAATCTCACATGGCCAACTCTGCAGTTCAAGTCCCAGACCGACAGCTTGAAAAAGAGAGCCAGGCACAATTATATGTGGGCCCAGAATCCCAAGTAAAGAATGGAGAAGGGATTGCAGTGGGGCCATCCTCCTGGGGGTAGAGGGTTGGTGGTTTCTCATTCTGTCCTCCCTTCTGTCTCTGACAAGCACACACACCCTATAGCAAATTTTAGAAAGTAATAGGCAGTTCAGGACCAGCAGTTAGTGTAATGGCTATGTTGCTGGACTCCCATGTAGTCGACCGCGGTTCAGGTCCTGGACCTGGTATCTTAAACTCACACCAGGTACGTGTGCGTGTGCACCTAAGATCCTAAGAAGAGAATGGAGAAGGGATTGCAGCGTGACCATCCCCCCTGGGGGGTGATTTCTTGCTTTTTGTCTCTTTCTGGCGAGCAAAAAAAGCCTCTCAAAAAAAAAAAGTAATAGGCAACTTCAAGTCCTGGACCTGGTGGCTTGCTTTTTTTCTCTCTCTCTTATTCTCTCTATGGTCAAATTTTAAAAATAAATGAATGAAACTAAAGTATTTTAAAAAAAATTGTAGCTCATGTTGGAATTTTGCTCAGTTTTGTTGCTACTTTTTATTCTAGTTTTTTTTTTTTTTCTTTTTTTGGTCTTATTTTATTAACTCGGGTGATTTAAGAGATTTGCATGTATTTAAGAATTTATATTATAGTTTTATTCATTGGAAATTAGCTAAATTAAACTGTCCTTTGGCCTGTGCTTTAACCACCACATCACCTGCTGGTCCCTTTTTTTTTTTTTTTTTTTTTTTTAATGCCAGAGGGCATAGGTACTGTTCAGAGGGGGAAGGGAAGGGAGAAAGCACATGAGAGTACCCTCCAGTGGTGCGAGGTTACATTGTGATTTCCTTTTCCTCCATTTCTCAGTCCTCTCGGGATTTGGGGCATGTGCACATGTGTCTGGCCTGCTTAGTTGAGCTGCTGGGTCTGGGACTTGAACCTTGCTGTTGGACATGTGGGTTCCAGATGTCTTCACCACATGACTGGCTGGCTCCCAAATTTGTTTTATTTTTTTGATCAGGCAGTTTTCGGTTTTTGGTTGGTTGGTTGGTTTGGTTTATTGTTTGAGGGCACGTGTACTCAACAGAAAGGAAAAGGAGAAAGCACTCCATGTGGGAAATAGTCACACCTGCTGCGTCCCGTCTCCATTTCTCCTCTCCTTTCAGGATTTAGGCATTCATGTACACATTCCCAGCTTGGTTCTCAAGCCACTGGGCGCAGGACTTGAACCACATGATTGGCAGTATTTAAGCCAACTGTCTTAACCCCAGAAGACAGAGTTGGCTCTTGTCAAATGTCTTGATGGTGGTATTTAATTCCTCGGGTGATACGGCCTTTTTTTTTAAGTTGGACAAGTGCTTGATTGACTAATATTTCATGGACATAAATTGTTTTATTTCCTCATGAGAGCAAACTTTTGTTTACATAGGTGAATATTAAACTACAAGTATATGAAGGGAGGCGGTGTGTGTGAAAACATGGACATTCAAAAGTAAATTTCAAGTGTCAAGATAATTTCACCTTAAAAGACTTAAGCAGCGGCCAGATGATGGTGCAGCAGTAAAGTGGCCCTCTGTGAGGGTGACTCACATGAGAAGATTGTAGCTTCGTATTCAGAGACCTTTTGTAAAAAGATTCTGTCATAGGGCTTGTACACTTGCTGGAAAGAGACAGAGACATTTGAGAAATCACCCCCTGGGGGATGGCTATGCCTGCAATCCCTTCTGAGATTAAGGACATGGAGGCACATGTGCCCATTGTGATTTTTTTTTTATAGACCATAGTTTAGTTTATTTTTAACACCCATCATGCCATGAATTCATAGGGAATAGGTTCTAGTAGCTCAGGCTCCTTTCCATTGGTTCTCACAAAGTGTGCTTCTCTGGGTGGAGCAGGCTGGCTCTTTAGTTGAACCCAGGTACCTTTCTCTTTGGCTTCTTTCTTTTTCTGGTCATTTTCCTTCACACGTTTTAGGAAGCTATCTCTGCTTAGAATGTTTAATATGCTCAATACACACATTCATTCTCTTGGCAAGAATCTTGCCCTTAACTTGTTTGTTCACAAGAATTCCAACAGCATGCTGGGTAACATTGTAGACTCTTCCAGTTTTGCCATGGTAACATTTGTGGGGCATTCCTTTTTGAACAGTACCCATTCCCTTAATGTCTACAATATCATCTTGTAGATTTGCATATATGTTGCCACAGAAACAACTCCATGTTTTCTAAAAGGTCTAGAGAACATATATCGGGTGCCTCTCCTCTTTCCCTTTGTGTTCGTCATTTTGGTTAATTACTAGAAGATGGTGGTCCCGGCCAAAAGCCCCATTGTGATTTTTAAGCTGCCACGTCAGGAACTTGAACCATGGTTGGCCACTGAGAGTCCAGAACTTTAACCATTGCACCACCTGCTCGCCCTAGAGATCTCTTCTCTTACTCAGAGACACTGGGGGTATAAGTGGGCCCATGATACAGAGCTGGCTGAAACAGGGTGAATAAAGAGGTCAATATCTTGGAGTTGGTCTCTCATCAAATTAATAAACTTGGGCCAGCCAGTGGTGTGATGGTTAAGGTGACTGGATTCCACATGGCCAACTTCCCTGTTTAAGTCCTGAACATAGGTTGAAAAACACTGGACACATGCTTGTGCCCCAGACCCCTAAAGAATGGGTTGTAACGTGGCTATCTGGGTGGAGTGGGTGATGATTTTTCACAGCCACCACCCCCACCACCACCACTTTGGAGAGCAGACCTACCCTATAGCAAAACTAAAAAACAAACTTAAAAATTAAAGCCAGTCTGTGGTGTGATGGTGGCTGGATCCCACATGTGTGCCTTGAGTCCCTGGGCTTCGGAGAAATGCAGGGCAGGTGTGCACGCATGCCCAAAAGCCACACAGGAGGGAGATATGGAGGAGGAATTGCATCACTATTCCCCATGGGGGGTGATTTTTCACATACCCTTCTCTCTCTCCTCTCTCCTATGGGGGAAAAAATGCCTGGGTGGATGACCAAATGGCTGTCTCTGGTTCCGATATCTGTTCTCAGGAGCCAAGGAGTTTCTCAAACAGCCATAGCCCAGCTCCTAGCTCAACACACGATACACCTGACGGTTAATTCAAGTCTTCAAACATAATAGACTATATATGACTTAACGTATATAGTTCTTAAACTTAATCATTCTCTCTTTCCCACTCAGTCACCCATCTTTGATCAGATCCACTGTTCAATTGGCTTTTTTTTTTTTTTTTTTTTTTAAATTTAGCTACAAGGCAAGCTCAGGGTTGGGGGGCAGTGGAGAGGGTGACAGATTTTTCTCAGTATTTGGGAGTTTTTCAGGCCATCACTTCGGAACTCGAACAACCCATTCAACCATGTGGGATCCCCAGCCAAACTAACCATTTTGCCACCGGCTAGCTATCTTCACACTATTAATGTGTAAGGATTTCTTTTTTTAAAAGAATCATTTTATTTACTTTTACTAATTATTAACACTATTATTTTAATTTTGGGGGGAGGAGAGGTTTTTGGTATAGGCTGGGTGAGCTCACCAGAAAGACAGAGATAGAAAGACAGAAAGCGAAAAATCACCCCTCAGGGGGGATGGCCAGGCCACAGTTCCTTCTCCTCCACTCTCTTGGAATCTTGGGCACGCACGCACACGCTCCCAGCATGAGTTTAAGCTACCGGGTCTGGGGCTCTAACTGCAGGTGACTACATGGGAGTCCAGCGACATAGTCACTACGCTAACTGCTGGCCCTCTATTATTTTAATTTGACCAGAGACAGAAGGAGAAAGTGAGGAAGTAAGCCGCCAGGTCAAGGACCTGAACCATGGTCAGCCCTGTGAAAGGCTAGGGCATTTAACTACCATACCACCTGCTGATCCGGATCTGTGAGGCTTTCAACAAGTCCAATCAGGACAGGAGACAACAGTAACCGTGGCAACGAGGAACGCAACGGAAGGGGTGGGGCCTGGGGCGGAAGGGGCGGGTCCTCGGGGCGTTCAGTGCAGCGATTTAGTGGCGGGAAAAGCTACCGGTTTTGAAGCGTCTTTCCTGACTGAGCGGAGGTCTTCCGGCGCCCAGCGATGGAGGAGCTGCCAGCGGAGCCGGCAGACGCCGTCAGGGACGGGCCCAGCGCGCAGGCGACGCGCAGTGAGGACCGCAGGACCCTGCTGCTCAGGTTGTTCTCTCCCGGCCCAGAGCTCCGCCCTTAGCTCAGGACGGCCAGGACTCCGGTTCCGACGCCGTCACCAAGTGGCTCGGTGACTGCATCGTTCCCTGCATCGAGCCCTTTCTTCGTCTGTGAAAGGAGAGAACACTGAGCCCCTCCAGGCGGCTTTGCTCTGGGGCTAAATGCGATGCTCTAGGGAAGCTTAGCGCAGTGCCAGGGCCCTTAGACGCCTGCGGAGCTGAGGTCGCCCCTCGGTCCCCGCTAGCCCCGAGGCCGCGGGCGTGGGGCAAGAGGAACCCGAAGCCCGAGCACTGCTCCGATGCTGCCCGCCCCCTTTATACCTAAGGCCCTCTGCAGTCCAGAGGCTTCGTTTGTTGTATATGCTGCTAGACGGATTACGTTTGTGTTTTTCCACAAAGCTGTTGGTAGAGATTTGTCAGAAAGGGGGTACATCAGTCTTGAAGCCGGTGGGTGAGCGACTCGTTCTGCCCCACTGCCTATTCTTGTGATGAGCTTAAATAGTTGAAGAAAAAAAAAATTTCACGACACGTAAAAATGAAATGGAATTAAAATTTCAGTGACTATAAACAAGTCATTTATTTATTTTTCGATTTGCCACGCCCTCGCTGGAGGGAGTAAAAGTGAGAATGCACTCCCCTTGGGGCGTGGCCTCTGGGCAATCCCTACTCCATTTCTCTCTCCTTTAGGGGCATGCAGGTACCAAGTGGGTTTCTCAACGCTGGGTAGGGGTCTGGCAGGGTTGTCCATGTGGGATTCCATCTCCTTAGCCTCCAGACCATAGATAGACCCATAAATAAAGTTTTATTAGAACACAGCTTTGTTGCTATAAGGGACAGAGTCCAGTGGTTAAAAGAGACTGTATGACTCACAAAGCCTAAAATATTTCCTATCTGATCCTTTATAGAAAAAAATTTACAACCTCTGTTCTAAATCGTGACAAAGGGTATATTTATTTTAAGGTTTTTGTTTTGTTTTGTTTTGTTTTGTTTTTTTTAATTTGACCTGAGACAGAGAGATAGTAAGAAAGTAAGCCACCAGGTCCAGGACTTGAACCACAATCATCCGTGTGGGAGTCCAGCGCCCCAACCACCATGCTACCTGCCAGCCTGACAAAGGCTATTTTTTTTTTAAAAAAAAGCATCATGAGGGGCCAGCAGGTGACAGTGGTTAAGACACAGGACTCCCACGTGGTTGACTGCAGTTCAAGTTCAGGACCCAAGGACTTGAAACTTGAAACTCACCTCTGGTTCATGTGCATATGTGCCCAAAATCCTGAGAGAAGAACAGAGGGGATTGCAGTGTGGCCATACTCCCGTGGGGGGTTGATGTCTCACTGTCTCTCTTTTTTCCTAGAGTGCGCGTACCCTATAGAAAGCATCAGAGCTATTTATCAATTCCTTACTATTTACAATACAATATACTTAAAGATACAAGATCACCTTTCTATTTCAGTTAAATAGGAACTGTTCTTTCAGTGTGCGTGCCTTGAAGAATGCTAGCCTACGTAGCCTCAAAGAAAACGCTGTTTTGGGCCACACAGTGGCATGGTAGTTAAAGCTGCTGGATCCCACATTGCCCACTTTGCGGTTTGAGTTCAGAGCCTAGTAGTTTAAGAAACACACCAGGCGGGATCAGCAGTTGTGTAATGGCTATGTCGCTGGACTCCCATGTAGTCAACTGCGGTTTGAGTCCCGGACCCAATGGCTCGAACTCATGCCGGGCACATGTGTGTACATGCCCAAAATCCTGAAAGGAGAATGGAGGAGAAGGGATTGCAGCGTGGCCATCCCCCCAGGGGGTGGTTTCTCGCTTTCTGTCTCTCTGTTTCTCTCTGTCTTTCTGGCAAGCGAACGCGCCCTATAGCAAAAACTTCTTCAAAAAAAAAGGAAAGAAACACACCAGGCACATATGTGCATACCCAAAATCCTGAAAGGAATAAGAAATGAAGGGATTGTGATAATGGCCATTCCCCACCAAGTACTTTCACACTCCCCTTCCCCTCTCTATCTTTCCCATGAGTGAATGCACCCTCTAGCCAGTTTTTATTTTAATGAGGCAAAACTGGAAGACTGGCATAGTTATTAAGGCACTGGACTCCCACATGGCTGACTGTGGTTCAAGTTCCAACCCAGCAGCTTGAAACTTATGCTAGTCACCTGTGCGTGTGTCTCCAAATCCAGAGAGGAGAATGGAGAAGAGATTGCAGTGTGACCATCCCCCTAGTGGTTGATTTCTTGCTCTCTGTCTCTTTGTCTTTTCAGCAAGTATACACACCCTATAGCAAAAATCTCCCTGGGGTGGGGGGGGGGACCTGGAAGACTTTAATGTGAGTTCAGTTATTTGTACATATGGTAGGAGTAAAACCTTAGTCAATAAATATATGACTTCCTGTTCTCTTTTATCCCTTTTCAGGCTAAGAGCCCAAACTAAACAACAACTCTTAGAGTATAAATCGATGATTGATGCAAGTAAGTATTTTCATTTTCAAAAAAGCTTTTGTGAGTTTGGTAATGAGTGGTACTTGAAATAAAAGATAATCAACTTTGAAAAAATTGTCTTTATATACTCTAGTGTAGCAAAACAGGTAAACAAAGATGTATACAAGGTAATTATGATATATGGTTAGTGGAATGAAGGACCTAAAGGTGTGATAACTGGAAGGGGCTACTTTAGATAGTTTGATGAAATGGCTTCTCTGAGAAGGTGATTTTAGAGCTGAGATACAAATAATAAGAAAAAATGCTTTCTCATACAGTTCTTGGTTTTCATTTTTCCGTTATTAAGAAATTGTAATATCGGAAATGGGTTAACAGTCCACACTGTAGAACTTATGCTAAAGGAGACGACAGATTTAAAGCAGGTCATAGGACAATTAGTTGTAGTTTTGAAAGATAATACTCATTTAAATTGATTATTTTTCATTATTTTAAAAATATTATTGAAACTTCATTGGTTAAAAGGTTTTTCTTTTCTTTTTTCTTTACAATAAATGCATTCATTTGAAGGGTACAATCTGATGAGTTTTGACAAATGTATACATCTGTGTAACCACAAATCAAGATACAGGACTTTTTTTTAAGAGTTTTAAAAATTTTATTTGTTATTGTTATTATTTAATTTGACCATAGAGACATGAGAAAAAGAGAAAGGGAAAGTGAGAAAGCAAGCTTCCAGGCCTGGGACTCAAACCTTGGTTGGCCATGTGGGAGTGCAACACCTTAACCACTGCCAGCCCCAAGATATAGGACATTTCTGTCATACCAAAGATTGTTTTGTGCTACGTAATAGTCCTCACAGTTACCACTAATTTGATTTCTGTTGCTGTAGACTTACCCTGTAGATTGTGCTGTCTGTGCTGTACAGTAGGGTAGCTACTAGCTACATGTGGCTTTAAGTTAATAAAAAGTAAATGAAGTGTAAAATCAAGTTCTTTAGTTAGAAGAGTCGCTTACCAAGTACTCAGTAACCACGTGCGTTTAATGGCTACCTTATTGGACAACACAGTTGTGAAGCACTTCCATCATCACAGAAAGCTGTGGCATCTTTTCTCTCTGTTCTATTGAGGTTTTTGTCTCTCCTTACATGAGTACTACACTGTCTTAATTACCTTAGTTTTATGGTAAGTCTAGATATTAGCTAATGTACATCCTCCAACTTTGTTCTGCTGTGTCAGAAATGCTTTGATGGACCCGACTTGGTGGCACTTGCCAGCTCATCAGGAGATTTGTCAAGAAGATCACCAGCCTGAGAAATATAATGAGACCTTGTCTCTACAAAACAAAGAAAAAAAACAGTTTGGTGGTACTGTCAGTAGCAAACTGGCTGCAGTGCTAGAAGCCATTTATATGACTGACCATGGATTCAGATCACCAGGCTGGCCTGAAGAAATGAGTGGAATGTACCTGTGGGCCCAAGATCCTGACAAGCTAGGAAAGGGGATCACAGTGTGATGAGATCCTGTCAAGGGTGCTTCTCTCTTTCTCTCTTTCTCTTCCTCTTGCACACTCACATACTCACTGTCATAAATAAAATAAAAAGCATTCAAAACTTGAGTGATTGGGAAAACGTGGTATGGTGGTTAAGGGCGCTGGACTCCTACATGGCTGACAAAAGTTCAAGTCCTGGAACTGGTGGCTTGCTTTCTCTTCTTCTCTCTCTTTCTCTGTCCTTCTCTAGTCAAATTAAAAAGTAAATTAATTAATTAATTAATTAATTAAAAACAATTCTTTAAAAGAAAATGAGTGAATTTTTAAAAATTTACTTTGATAATATTATTTTTTGTTTTCACAAACTTCTTGTTTTAAAAAATTTTTATTTAATCATTATATATCTTTATAGCATACAACATTGCAGCATGGTTTTTCCCAGCATGCTTGAGGTGCATGTCAGCCAAATCAAAGATTTTACCGTATACATCAATGGATTTTGTTCCTCTCCAGAATGATTTATTTATTTATTTTTAAATTATTTTATAATTATTTACTTATTTATTCATTCATTTTAATTTGACTAGAGGGAGACAGACAGAGAGAGAGAGGGGGGCGGAGAGAGTGAGAAAACAAGCTGCCATGTCCAGGACTCAAACCAATCAGCCATGTGAAAGTCCAGCACCTTAACCACCACGCCACCTGCTGGTCCCTATTTATTATTTTTTAATTTGACCAGAGTGAGACAGAGAGAGAGAGGGGGGCGGAGAGAGTGAGAAAACAAGCTGCCATGTCCAGGACTCAAACCAATCAGCCATGTGAAAGTCCAGCACCTTAACCACCACGCTGCCACCTATTGGCCCCCCATTCTTGTCTGTTAAATACTTTTTTTTACTTTTTTTTTCCCTGAGGCCCCCCGCCCTTACAAAGTGATTCCATTTTGACTAGCATTTGATTGGGAACTATATACATAAATATTAGGAAAGCTGTTATATTAGCAGTATTGATTTCTCAGAAGTACACAGTACATGTAGCCGTTTCAATATTTAGTACTATTCACTATAGAAGTTATACACATATTTTATTAAATTTTTCCTTAATTTTATGCTTTTGAATGCTATTTTGCATGATAGTTTGCTTCCTTTTAATTTTCAGTTGTTCATTGCTAATACACATGTGTTTTGTTTGTTTGTTTGTTTGTTTTTAAGAGGTTTTTGCTATAGGGCACGTGCGCTTGCCAGAAAGACAGAGAGAGAGAGAGTGAAAAAGCCCCCCCAGTGGGGATGGCCACACTGCAGTCTTTTCTCCTCCATTTTCCTCTCGGGATCTTGGGCACACGCACACGTGCCTGGTGTGAGTTTAAGCCACCGGGTCTGGGACTCGAACCACAGTTGACTACATGGGAGTCCAGCGACATAGCCATTACGCTAAATGCTGGTCCCTACATGTGATTTTTTTTTTTTATATTACTACCTTTTTTCTATCATTATTAAATTGTTTTTTCCAATATGATAACTACTAGTCCTTGTGGTTATTGAACACTTGAAATGTGGTTGGTCCTTACTGAAATAAAATACACAAAAGAATGTGAAGTGTTTCATTAGTAATTTTTAAAAAATAATTATTTTATTTAACTTTATTTATTTATTTATTTTAATTTGACTAGAGAAGGACAGAGTAAGAGAGAAAGAGAAAGGGAAAGTGGGAAAGTAAGCCCCAGGTCTGGGACTCTAACCGTGGTCAGCCATCTGGGAGTCCAGTATCCTTAACCACCATGCCACCTGCTAGCTCATTAGTAATTTTTAAATGATTACATGTTAAAATAATGTTTTGGATCTACTGCGTTAAATAAACTCAATTTCACTCGTTTCTCTTTATATAATGTGAAAATCAGACATTTAAAATTATGTATTTTATTTTTGTGGCTTCATTTTTCTCCTGTTTGGCAGCAGTATTCTAAAATGTTATTTATTTATTTATAGATGAAGAAAATACTCCAGAACAAATCATGCAAGAAAAGCAAATTGAAGCGTATGTCATGTTTTACAATTGTATTTGTGGGTTTTTACTAACATTTAGTTATATTACCCATATTATGACACTTTCTTTTTTGTCCCTTTTCCAAATTGTATAATGTATTCATTGAACTTGTTCATGTGGGAGGGAGACAGTTACAAGTTCAGTTACAAGTAACTGATCAATCACATTAGCACTTCCTGGCATTTCCCCTTATTAGATCCTAGCAAAGCAGTTCAGGAGACATCAGTTTAGCAGATCTGTTAAGTACACATCAGTATGTTGAGCCTGGAGAATACTTTCATTTAGGTACAGGTATTTTACTTTGTTCAAAGATTTTATACATTTATTTCAATAATGACTTTTTCTGCTATTGCTGAAATTCTTTTGTTCATGCTTCTTTGATAGTAAAATTGAAGACCTGGAAAATGAAATTGAAGAGGTAAAAACCAATCTTGAAATAAAAAATCTTGCATTGGACAGGTAATTATTACATATATAAATAAGCACTTACGAACATAAGCATTGTGAACTGGAGACCAAATGGGTATGGGAGCAAAGTGGAAGCAATTTTTTTTTAACCTGGTTAAATGGATTAGTCAAGTGAAATGACAGTAGACAATGGTCACTCACACTTTGGATCCTGAGGAAAAGTTACATTATTGATCAGTATCTTCATATAGGCCCACTGCACAGTGTTAGACCCATATGGGAGGCCCCAGGTTCGGATCCTGTATAGACCTGAACACACCTGTGATCACCTGTGATCCTGAGATGCTGGGGGAAGAATTGCCACATGGCAAGACCCTGTCAAGGGTACTTGCCTGACTATCACTAATGAATGAAATAAACAAACATGAAAGCTTGGGACCAAGTGGTGACACAGCAGTGAAGCACAGCACTGTATTCTGTGAGGCAGTCCCACATGGGAGGGTTCTCAGTTCAGGCCTGGTGACCTGCTTACATATGCCAAGCATGCGTGCCTGTGATCTGGGCCTGACTGAAAGCTGGGAGTGAATCGCAGCACAAGAACCCAGTTGGGAGTGTATGCACTTATGTACTTTCTCTCAGAAAAAGAATTAAACTTTAAAACAAAACAAAACAAAAACCTTCATTTGAGGGGCTAGGCAGTGGCAAAGGGTAGTATGACTGGACCCACATGGGCAAGGTCCGGTGTTTCTGTCATGGGACCTCCTTGAGCATGCAGGATGCCCACAGACGTGCCTATGTCCATGATCTGTACTGGCCGAGCCTGGGGGCGAGTCATGAATTGGGTCCCTTGCTGGGAGTGCCTGTCTCTTTCTCATGGAGATAAATAAATACTTTTTTTTTTTTTAAGTTTTACCAGTGGGCATGCATAATTGCCAGAGAGAGACAGAGAAAGAGGGAGAGGAAGAAAGCACCCCTCAATGGTGTATGGTCACACCACAGTCCCTTTCTCCATTTCTCTATCCTGGAATTTGGGTTCACACACATGTACCTGGCATGTTTTTCAACCTGCTGGGGCTGAGATATGAACTGCATAGTCAGCTATGTAAGATTCAACTCCCTTAACCAATAGACTATGGGACTGGCTCATAACATTTTTTTTTTTTTTGAAAGGTTTTTGCTATAGGGCACGTGAACTTGCCAGAAAGACAGAGACATAGAGAGACAGAAAGTGAGAAATCACCCCCCAGGGGGGATGGCCACACTGCAGTCCCTTCTCCTCCATTCTCCTCTTGGGATCTTGGGCATGCATGCACACGCGCCTGGCATGAGTTTAAGCCACCAGGTCCGGGACTCGGACCACGGTCCACTACATGGGACTCCAGCAACATAGCCATTATGTTAACTACTTGTCCCTAATTTTTTTATTTTTAAAGTTACATAGGATAGAGTTAATAGGTAAATTTCAGTCAAGACAATATAAATATGGCCAACTGCAGTGGTGCAATGGTAACAACACAGGCCATATGGGAAGATCCCAGGTTTGCTTCCTGAGGTTAAATCCCACTGGAGTTTGAATACAGATTAATTAATTATAGGAACTATTAGTCTAGTAAAAGAATTATCATTGGGTTTAAATATTTTTTATCATAGGTTTTACAGCTGCATTTTAAAACACATTCAAGAAATATTTGAGGGGTTACTATAACCTAATCTTTGTACTAAGTGCAAGTATACAGATTTTAATAAGGCAGATATGTTGAACCAGCAGTTAGCATAATGGCTATGTCACTGGACTCCCACGTATTCGACCGCGGTTTTCGTCCTGGACCCGGTGGCTTAAAACTCACGCCAGGCACGTGTGCGTGTGTGCCCAAGATCCCAAGAGGAGGTAATGGAGAAGGGATTGCAGTGTGACCATCCCCCCTGGGGGATGATTTCTCTCTTTCTGTCTCTATGTCTCTCTCTGTCTGTCTGGCGAGCGCACGCACCCTATAGCGAAAATCTCTCCAAAAAAAAAAAAAAAGACAGATATGGTCTCTTAGTGGATTTGTGGTTTGAATTAATAATTTCATTTAAGTGAGTGACTCTTAACAATTACCTTTTTTTTTTTTAAGAGTTGTTTGTTTTTCTTTTTAAGAGAGATTTTTGCTATAGGGCGCGTGCAGTTGTCAGAGAGACAGAGACAGAAAGCAAGAAATTTCCCCCGGGGGGATTGCCACACCACAACCCCTTCTCTTTCATTCTTCTTCCAAGATTTTGGGCATGCACTTGCATGTACCCTGTGTGTTTTTTTAAGTTGCTGGGTCAGTGACTTAAACCACAGTCAACTATGTGGGAGTCCAGCAACGTGACCATTATGCAATCTGCTGGTCCCTATTTATTTAATTTTATTTATTGTTGTTTTTCAATTTGACTAGAGATAAAAGGAAAGCAAGGAAGCAAGCCACCAGGTCCAGGACTCGAACCACAGTGGACCATATAGGAGTCCAGCGCTGTAACCACAATGCCACCTGCTGGCCCCGATGCCGCAGTCTTTATCCCTCCAATTTTCCATACTGTCAGGATCCTGGGCATGCATGTTCAGCCAGCATGGTTTTCAAGCTGACAGTGCCAGGACTCAAACCCTAGTCAGCCATATGGGATCTAAGTTTTTCTGTGCAGCTCTTAACAACTTCACTATGGGCCAGTTCAGTGATCACATGTTTTAGGTGAAGTGACTTCAAAGTTATGAAGGTATCAGGCTGGCAAGTGTTGTGGTAATTAAAGGTGCTTGGGCTCCTTCATGGCCGACTGCAGTTTGAGTCCCGGACCTGACAGCTTGCTCACTCACTCTCTCTCTCTCCGTGTCTCTCTCTGGTCAAAAAATAGAAAAATAGGGAACCAGCAGTTAGCGTAATGGCTATGTCACTGGACTCCCATGTAGTTGACCACGGTTCACGTCCCGGACCCCGGTGGCTTAAAACTCACGCCAGGTGCGTGTGCATGCATGCCCAAGATCCCGAGAGGAGAATGGAGGAGAAGGGATTGTGGGCGTGACCATCCCCCATGGGGGGGTGATTTCTCGCTTTCTGTCTCTATGTCTCTCTCTGTCTGGCAAGCGCACGAACCCTATAGCAAAAACGTCTCCCCCCCAGAAAAAAAAAATAGAAAAATAATGGTAATAAATAAATAATAGTTTTTTTTTTTTAAAAAGCGATTAAGGTATCATCTTATAATGAATCCAGCTTTTTCTGTGCGGCAAAAGGAAAGAAAGAACTCTGCTGCTACCAAATTGATTGCCCTTTTATTATTACTTACTTATTAGCTATTTGACTTTAGAAGTAATTTACATGGGCATGCTTTAAAATTTACAGTTGAGTCAGCCAGTGACATGGTGGTTAAGGAGGCTGGCTGGATACCATATGGCCAACTGTGGGGTTCAAGTCCCAGACCCAGTGACTTGGAAAACAAGTCAGGCATGTGTGCATACATGTGCAAAATCCCCCATTGGGGAATGCTTTCTCACTTTCTCTCTTTCTCTGTCTCTCTTCCTCTTTCCCCAGCAAGCACAAGTGCCCTGTAGCAAGTTATTTTTAAAAAAATTGTAGACAAGTATGATTTTATATTCTGTGTCTTAATATTTTAGGCCTGTACTGATCTTTATAGAACCTTACTGCTTGCCTCAGCTCTTCACCAAGACAGACAGCTGGGAGAGCTTACCAGCCCAGGATAACAGGTCCTTTCAGCCTGGCAAGGCACAACCATCTTCAACAGCCTCTGTCACCCTGTTATTTCATAGTTCTGTGGTTTACTTCTCAAAGCATTCGCTGGGGCCAACAGGTGGCGTGGTAGTTAAGGTGCTGGACTCGCACGTGGCCATTGTATTCTCCTATTAAAAAAATTACATTGTTCCTTTAAAGATATGTACAATGTGTCAGTATAGGTTTTAAAATTTTAGAATGTAATGGGACCAGCAGGTGGCATGGTGGTTAAGGGCACTGGATTTCCACATGGCTGACCACGGTTCGAGTCCCAAACCTGGAAGCTTGATTTCTAACTTTCGTTCTCTCTGTCTCTCTCTCACTCTGTCCCTCTCTGGTCAAATTATAGATATATATATAGATAGATAGATAGTCAAATTAGATAGATAGATAGATAGATAGATAGATAGATAGATAGTCAAATTATATCTAGATAGATAGATAGATAGAATGAATGAATTAAAAAAAGAATGTTGTAATATCAGGATCAGCAGGAGGTATAATGGTTAATGTGCTGGACTCCCACATGGCTAATTGTGGTTCAAATCCCAGACCTGATGCCTTTCTCTCTCTGACCAAACTGAAGAATAACAAATAAAATTAAAAAATAAATAATTTTTAAAAAAATAAAATGTTGTAATATGCCATAAATATTATTTATGTTTTATAACACAAGCTTTTTCCCTCATAGGGTGCGACTTTCAAATGCACTTCAAAAAAACCTGGAGAAAATTGATGTCAAAAATAGGTAGGAATTTTTTTTTTTCTGGGTGTGATAATGATAAGAATAAGGAAGGAGAGATCTGAACCTGTGGATGCTATGGTAGTTAAGGACTCCCACACAGTCGACCATGGTGTAAGTCTTGGACCCAGTGACTTGAGAATCATGCTGGTCATGTGTGCATGCGTGTGTGCTCAAAATCCTGAGAGGAGAATGGAGGAGACAGGATTGGGGCATGGCCATCCTCCCTGGGGGATAATTTCTCACTGTCCCTCTCTCACTCTTTTTCTCTTCTGAGAGTGCATGTGCCCTATAGCAAAAATTGAAAAATTAAAAATAAATAAGAAAGGTGAGCCCCACAATGGCTTTAATTTTACAGTTTTTTAAAGAAATGAACTATCAGGACTAGCAGCGTAATGGTTGTGTCGCTGAACTCTTATGTAGTCGACCGCGTTTCAAGTCCCGGACCTGGTGGCTTAAACTAACGCCAGGTGCATGTGCATTGCCATAAATATTATTTATGTTTTATAACACAAGCTTTTTCCCTCATAGGGTGCGACTTTCAAATGCACTTCAAAAAAACCTGGAGAAAATTGATGTCAAAAATAGGTAGGAATTTTTTTTTTTCTGGGTGTGATAATGATAAGAATAAGGAAGGAGAGATCTGAACCTGTGGATGCTATGGTAGTTAAGGACTCCCACACAGTCGACCATGGTGTAAGTCTTGGACCCAGTGACTTGAGAATCATGCTGGTCATGTGTGCATGCGTGTGTGCTCAAAATCCTGAGAGGAGAATGGAGGAGACAGGATTGGGGCATGGCCATCCTCCCTGGGGGATAATTTCTCACTGTCCCTCTCTCACTCTTTTTCTCTTCTGAGAGTGCATGTGCCCTATAGCAAAAATTGAAAAATTAAAAATAAATAAGAAAGGTGAGCCCCACAATGGCTTTAATTTTACAGTTTTTTAAAGAAATGAACTATCAGGACTAGCAGCGTAATGGTTGTGTCGCTGAACTCTTATGTAGTCGACCGCGTTTCAAGTCCCGGACCTGGTGGCTTAAACTAACGCCAGGTGCATGTGCATGTGTGCCCAAGATCCCGAGAGGAGAATGGAGGAGAAGGGATTGCAGCATGGCCATCCCCTCTTGGGGGGGGGGGGGATTTCTCACTTTCTGTCTCTCTGTTTCTCTGTCTTTCTGGCAAGCACATGCACCCTATTAGCAAAAACCTCTCCAAAAAAGTTAAAAATTAAAAAAAATAAAGAAATGAACTATCACTGCCAACCTCCTTCATCTGGGGAATAAGAAGTGAGGGATTTTTGTAGGCCCTCCCCAGAATTACAACAGCTTTTACAGTCCAGTTGACATCTTGTTCCATATGAATTGCAATGTATGAAGCAGGAGTTTTAATCTGAAAAACTTGAAAGGAGGTCTTGAAATAATTTTCATCTATATTTACTATAAACTAGGAAAAATGCTATCTCGTTTTATCTGGCAATAGCCCAATAATATAGAAAGTATACTCATTTTTCTTCCATGTTTAATTTTTCCATGAAAAAGAGTGTGTGCAATCCCCTTTCCCTAGCCCTCCCCTCCTCAGGATCACACGCAGCATGTTTTCAGGTCAACTCTGGATCTGAACCAGCAGTCACCCCTTTGGCTTCCAGCATGGCAGGTCAATACTTACTGCCTGCACCAATTGTACACCAAAACCAGGCCATCATTTTTTCATTGGTATAAATGAACTTGTTCAGATTAAACCATTTGCCAAGTATTATAAAATAAAGACTGTGGCATTCAAGATCTATCTATTAGGTTGTTGGGAACATCAGGACATATTTTTGCATAGAAAAACATGGCATGATGTTCACAACAACCTAATATAATCTAGTACTAAGTATCTGGCCTCACTATTATTTTTCTCTCTTAAAGCTCTGAAAATATTATGATTCATTATCCTCTGCCATTAGGCTCGGAAGAGTTGTAAGATGAATCTGAGCATTTTAACCTAAACTTATATACATTCTTCTCATATTCCAGCTCACTTTAGTCTGAATTTGGGCTCACTTTTTCTTAGGGTTTTTGCCATAGCACATGTATGCTCACCAGAGAGACAGAGAGATAATGAAAGGGAAAGTGAGAAATCACCTCCCAGGGAGGATGGCCGCTCCATAATCCCTTCTCCTCCATTCTCCTGGGCTTTTAGGCATGTGTGCACATGAGCTCAGTATGATTTTCAAGCCACCAGATCTAGCCTTAAACCATGATCGGCCATGTGAAAGTCCAGCACCTTAACCACTGCACCACCTACTGGCTTCTGGGCTCTCTTAACTATCCCCTATAAAAGCAGAGCTTAAACCATTATTCAGCCTAATGGCACAGTTGGTGGCAAACTGAACTGGAAGCTGTATGGCCACCTGCACATTCAGATCCCTAGTTGGCTTGAAAATACTCTAGGCATGCATACTTGCCCAAAATCCTAAAGAGCTGGAGGGGTGAGGAAAGGGGATTACAGCCTGTCGAGGGTATGTCCCTGTACCTCATGCTCACTCGCTCGCTCTCTCATGCATGTGCTCTCTATCATGAGTAAAATAAATAAACTAAAAAGTTCTCAAGTTTGGGGCTAGCAGGTGATGTAGTGGTGAAGGTACTGTACATCCACATGACTGACTACAGTTCAAGTCCTGGATCCAGTGGCTTGAAAAAGATGCTGGGCAGGTATGCATGTGTTCCCAAAATCTCAGAAAGAGAATGGAGGAGACAGGATTGAGTCATGGCCCTATCCTCCAGGGGAGTGATTTCTCATTTTCCCTCTTAATTTCTGTCTCTGGTAAGCACATGTGTCCTGTGGCAAAAAAAAAAAAAAAAAATTAAAATAAAAAATTCTCAAGTTAAAGGGGTGGGACACAGGACATGTTCACCACATTGATGCCCTAAAACAACAGTAAAGTTACCTAGACTGAGATCCCTTGTTTTAGAGGCCAGCAGCTCATATGATGTTTAAGGCGCTGGACTCCCACATGCCCAGCCATGATTTGAGCCCTAGATCTGGTGGCTTGCCTTTCTCACTTCCCCCCCTCTCTCTGTCTCTTTCTGTCTTTCTCTGGTCAAATTAAAAAGTAATAATAATAGGGGGACCAACAGGTGGCATGGTGGTAGGGTGTTGGACACTCCCACATGGCCGATTGCAGTTCGAGTACTGGAGCTAGTGGCTTGCTTTCTCTCTCTCTCTCTCTCTCTCTCTCTCTGGTCAAATTAAAATAAACGAATGAACAAATAAAAGTAATAATAATAAAATTTAATAAAATAATTTCTTTTAAGTTTTTTTTTTTAAATGACAACTGTTTAAAAACAGACAATTGGTATGCCATTCAATTGAGGCAGCTTACAGCCTTGGGCTCCAGTGCCTTAGTTTCCAACTAAACAAACTAAAGCCTAATATAAAAAATAAAATTAAACGTAAGTGTAGATAATCAAAAACTGCCAACTAGGGGCCGGCAGGTGGCATGGGGGTTAGGGTGCTCGATTCCCACATGGCCTCTCACAGTTTGAGTCCCAGTCCTGGCGGCTTACTATCTTGCTTTCCCTCTCTCTTACTCTGTCCCTCTCTGGTCAAATTTAAAAATTAATTAATTAAATAAATAAAAATAATTCAAAAAAAAAAAACCTAAACAAACAAAAAAGAACTGCCAGTTAAGGCCTGCAGGTGGCTTAGGTGGTTAAGGTCTTGGACTCCCACACGGCTGGGGAGTGCTTTCTCACTTTCTCTGTCTCTCTCTTTGGTGAGTACACATGCCCTATAGCAAATTAAAAAATAATAAATAAAATTAAATAATTATTTAAAAAGAAAACAAAACTGACAATTAACCTCTTACTGGAGACTTTCCACTATAACCAAAGACACTATCTGTGGATCCCACAGCAAAGGATTTAAGCAGCAGCAGATTGAAAATGTTATGATATTGCCAATGTGAACTATGAAGCTTATTAGTGAAACTGTTTTATATGATACTATAATGGTGGCTATACATCATTACTTTTTTTTAAGAATTTTTTTTAGAATTATTTATTTAATTTTATTTATTCATTCATTTATTTTAATTTGACCAGAGAAAGACAGAGAAGAAAAGTGAGAAAGTAAGCCACCAGGTCCGGGACTCAAACTGCATTCGACTATGTGCGAGTGTCCAGTGCCTCAACCACCATGCCACTTGCTGGCCCCTGTCATTACATGTTTTTCAAAACCTATAGAAAGTACACCACCAAGAGTGAATCCTACTGTAAATTATGGACTTCGGGTGACAATCATGTGTCAGTATAGGTTTGTCGATTATAACAAATACAAGATTCTGGTTTGAGATATCGACAATGGGAAGTGTGTGGGTCAGGGGGAGGACATATATAGGAAATTTTTGTACCTTCCACTCAGTTTTGCTATGAACCAAAAGTTGCTTTAAAAATTAAAATCTGTTTAAAAAATAAGTAGCTTATTAAGTTATTATGATTTTTCCTCCCTAAATATGAAATCTCTTTTTTTAAAAAAAGTATTTATTGGGGCCAGTGGGTGTTGTGGCGGTTAAAGATGCTGGACTCCCACATGGCTGACCCTGATTTGAGGCCCAGACCTGGCAGCTTGCTTTCTCACTTTCTCTCTCTCTGTCTCTCTCTGTCCCTTTCTGGTCAAATTTAAATAAATGAATGAATGAATAAAGTTAAAGAAGATAATTCTTTTTTAAAAAGTATTTATTCATTTAATTCTATTTGTTATTATTTTCTAATTTGACCAGAGAGAGAAATAGACAAAGAGAGAAAGGAAGTTGCCACATCCAGGACTCAAACCGTGGCCGGCCATGTGGGACTCCAGCATCTTTATCCACCATGCCACCTGCTAGCCCCTAAATAGGAAATCTTTATGAATATCCCTGTATTCCTTAGGTCAATACTTTTTGTTATCTATGACTGAAAATTTTTCTAGTGAAATACATCTCTAATTTTAGCAGAAACTTCTAGTTTCTTTGTTTTGTTTTGAATTTGCTATAGGGTACATGCACTCTCCTGAGAGAGGGAGAGAGAGAGAGAGAGAAAGCATCCCCCAGAGGGTATGGCCACATCCAAATCCCTTCTTCTCTATTCTCTTCTTGGGATTTTGGACAGCACACACACATCCTGCATGTTTCTCAAGCCTATGGGTCTGGGACTTGAACCATGCGGTTGGCCACGTGGGATCCAGCTGCCTTAACCACTACATTACCTAGCTGGCCCTCCAGGTTTATTTAGTTAGTAAGTTCTTTTTATTTCATTGTATTCATTGTCATTTTATTTTATTTCTTTTTAAAGTTGACCAGAAACAGAGAGAGAGAGAAAATGAGAAAGTAAGCCACCAGGTCCAAAACTCAAACCATGGTCAGCTACATAGGAGTCCAGCTACCCCAACCACCATGTAACCTGTTGGCCCCTTGTTAGTAACTTTCTATTGACGTTTACAGTGGATTTAATGAAAGTAAATGTAATTAATTTCTTCATTAATGAAATAAATTTATTATTTTTAACTAAGGTTAATAAACATCTTTGTTTCCTTTTCAGTGTGCTCATAGATAACATGAACCAAGTATTAAAGCTAAGTAAATTAATAATGAAATCACAACAGGTAAATTTGTACATTAGTCTACTTATAAATATTCTCATGACCTTAGTAACAACTTTTTGCTGGTAACTATATTATATATCTTAAACAGGATTGCCCAAAGGGACTGATATGATTAGGATTCACTCTCTCTAAGTTCTCTTTTTCATAATTTCATTATTTCTGACTAATGTTGCAAACTATCTAATTGTAATTTAAGCTACTGCATTCTCCCTTTTGTTGTATGGAAATAGAGGGATTAAAAAATAGAACTTTAGAAAACATGAGCTAATATAAAACTCAGAGATAAAAGTACTGTAAATTTGTTCTTATCAAATGTGTTTTAATTTTTTTTATTTTTAAAAACAGGAATCTTGGGATTTAGAGGAAAAACTGCTTGCTGTTAGAAAGAAGAGATTGCGTATGTGGAACACTTTTACTTTACATCTTTTTCTTTTTTTTGGTAGAGCATAATTTCACCAACCTTGGAGAGTGATAAGGCCAGATCTCTCAACTGCCAAGAAATTTCTTAACTTTCAAAATTTCTTAAAAGTTTATACAAGAGGGGGGACCAGCAGTTAGCGTAATGGCTATGTCGCTGGACTCCCACATAGTCGACCGTAGTTCGCGTCCCAGACCCGGTGGCTTAAAACTCACGCTGGGCACGTGTGCGTGCAAGCCCAAGATCCCGAGAGGAGAATGGAGGAGAAGGGATTGTGGCATGACCATCCCCCCTGGGGGGTGATTTCTCGCTTTCTGTCTCTATGTCTCTGTCTGGCGAGCGCACGCGCCCTATAGTGAAAACCTCTCCAAAATAAATAAATAAATAAGTAAAAGTTTATACAAGAGGGACTAGAAGGTGACGCAGTGGTTACGTCGCTGAACTCCCATGTAGTTGACCATGGTTGGAGTCTTAGACCCAGAGGCTTAATACTCATGCCAGGGGGCTGACAGGTGGCATGGTGGTTAAAGGTGGTGGACTCCCACATGGCTGACCTCGGTTCGAATCTCAGACCTGGCAGCTTGCTTTCTTGCTTTCTCTCTCATTCTCTCATTCTCTCTCTCTTTCTCTCTCTTTCTCTCTCCCTCTCCCCCCACCCCCGGTCAAATTAAAATAAATGAGTGAATGAATAAATAAATAAAGTTTTTTTTTAAAAAAAGAAATGCCCCTTTTAATAAAACAAACAAAAAAATCTCACACCAGGCAAGTGTGCTTGCATCCCCAAAATCCAGAGAGGAGAATGGAGAGGGGATTGTGGCATGACCCTCCCCGCTGGGGGGTGATTTTTCTGTTTCTATCTGGCAAGCTCACATGCCCTGTAGCAAAAATTTCTCTTAAAAAAAAATTTAGGAAACCAGCAGTTAGCGTAATTGCTATGTCGCCGGACTCCCACGTAGTCGACCACAGTTCGCGTCCCGGACCCGGTGGCTTAAAACTCACACTGGGTGCGTGTGCGTGCGTGCCCAAGATCCCGAGAGGAGAATGGAGGAGAAGGGATTGTGGCGTGACCATCCCCCCTGGGGGAGTGATTTCTCGCTTTCTGTCTCTGTGTCTCTCTCTCTCTGTCTGGCGAGCGCACGCACCCTATAGCAAAAAAAAACTCTCAAAAAAACATTTACACATGACAATATAGAAAGTAGGATATGAAATGCATTTTTATTTATTTTTGCTGTGTAAGACTAAATCACAAACTTAATACATTCTCAGTTGAGAAAAAAGAACAAATAATACAAAAAATTGTAATGCAAAAGTCAAGTCTGCTTTCTATGTGACCACAGTGTGGGTATGTATCATTCTGTATCCTGCTCTGTAACCATATAGGTACATTTATATGTGCATACCTCAAAATGATGAATTGATAAATGCGATTTTACACCCTTTACAGTTAGTTTATCATGACATGAGATAGCTTTTTGCTTTGAAACTGTTAAAATGTTTATATCCATACATTCTTAAAATGTTTATATCCATACATTGTGTATAGAATATTTGGAAACACAAAACTATATATAGGAAAATTTTAATTTTTAATCTTTTTTTTTTTGGAGGGGGTTTTGCTATAGGCTGTGTGCGCTCGCCAGAAAGACAGAGACAGAGACAGAAAGCTAGAAATCACCCCCCAGGGGGAATGGCCACACTACAGTCCCTTCTTTTCCATTCTCCTCTCGGGATCTTGGGCATGCACACAGACATGCCCGGTATGAGTTTAAGTCACCAGGTCCGAGACTCAAACTGTGGTTGACTACATGGGAGTCCAGTGACATAGCCATTAAGCTAACTGCTGGTCCCTAATTTTTAATCTTTACCACTGAGAGACAATCAACTTCAGTGCATTTATTTTTAACATTTAAAAATTTTTAATGCCAAAGCATGCATACACTTAACCACCAGAAAGAAAAAGTTTCCCCTGATGGGGCGTGGTCATGGCATAATCTTTTTTCCTCCACTCCTCCACCCCGTCAGAGTTTTGGGTGCATGCACATGTGCCAAGCATGTTTCTCAAGCCACCAGGGCCAAAATTTGAATTGTGGTTACTATGTGGGATCTAGGTCCCTTAACCACTGTGCAATGGAGCTGGCCCAATGCATTTTTTTTACCTTCTTTTTCTCTCTTTTCTTTCCTTTTTTTTTTTTTTTTTTGCCAGAGTGTACATAGGGAGAAAGCACCCCCGCCATGGGGGAGGTTCTGCCACAATTTCTTCTCTGTTTTGGGCAAACACGTGCACAAGCCCACATGTTTCTCAAGCTGCCAGTTCAGGACTTGAACTACAGGGTTAGCCTTCTGGGATGCAGCTCCCTTCACCATGGCACCACAATTTATTATTTTTAAAGATTATACAGATTTGCCTGCTAGCAAGTAAACTCATGGTCAGAAGTATTCTTGTTGGACTAATCTAATCACTCTTTTGATGTTTCTTTTTTTTTCCCTTTGCATTCCAACCTATTTTTGGTACATTACTGTGAAGGAATAAGTCTCTGAGACATACTCATCTATATTTCCTTTTTTTTTGGGGGGGGGGATAGATTTTTGCTGTAGTGCTTGCCAGAGAGACCAAGAGAGACAGACAGAAAGCAAGAAAAACACTACCACCATCCCCAGGGGAGATGGCCATGCCACAGTCTCTTCTCCATTTTCCTCTTGGTATTTTGGGCATGCACGCCCACATACGTGCCCAGCATGAGTTTCAAGCCATGGGCCCAGGACTCAAACCACAGCTGACTACATGGTAGTCCAGCAACATAACCATTATGCCAGCTGCTGGTCCCTCATCTATACTTTCAAATAGATTAATTCCTAGAACATATTGGAAGGTTAGAAAAAAAAATGGTTGATGATGTTATCCCCAGAGAAGGGAATCTTACTTTTAATTTAAAGTTTACCTTGTTTATACATAATATTTTTTTTTTTGGAGAGGTTTTTGCTATAGGGCGCGTGCATTCGCCAGACAGACAGAGACAGAGAGACAGAAAGCAAGAAATCACCCCCCAGGGGGGATGGTCACTCTGCAATCCCTTCTCCTCCATTCTCCTCTCAGGATTTTGGGCATGCACGCACATGCGCTCGGCGACATAGCCATTACACTAACTGCTGGTCCCATTATACATAATATTTTTAATTAAAGAGGAAAAATATTTCTTTATGTGTATCTCCTGCCTATTTTGACAACTCTCTTTTACATGATACTATTTCACATATTTGTAGACAGCTATCATTGTCATATGTAAACACCTGTAACAGTTCACTGAGGACATTGCTAAGTGTAAAAGTGAAATACTGTTATTTTGTGCCAGCAAACTCATTTCCAAATCAAAATAGAACTGCAACATGAAATGCTTCTTACTGAAAATTTTCTCTTTACTAAAATAACCAGGAAATGACTCCTTCCTAATTTTTCATGATCTTTGTTTGTAGAGTTATCATGTACAGTATATTGTCTTATTTTTAATCTAACAGAATTAAAACAAGCTTCAGAAAGTAAGCTTTTAGAAATACAGACTGAAAAGAACAAACAGAAAGATGATTTGGACAGTATGGAAAATTCAGACAAGATAAAGAGCATACAGCAAAATCTACAGATGGAGATACAAATTGCTACAGTTATTCAACATGTGTTCCAGGTAACATCTATATAAATTAGGAAGTGAAGTGCTTTTTAAAAAAATGATTGGTGCTAGTACAGTATTGATTTAGTTACTCTTGATTCTTGATAAAATAATTTAAATATTCCTCTGTTTATGTATATTTAGGGTTCACGTATATTTTACGTTTAAGACTTTGATTTTTTCATTAAGATTAGATCTTAGTCACTTATAAATGGAATGATTTTTTTTTCCAGTTCTCTGGAGGCAAATGGTTTAACAGTAGAGAACATTAGACTCATTGAAAGATAGAGGGAGACATGGCTGGGGGTATCTAAGCTTAAACTTCCCTTAGTTTGGGGCCAGCAGATGGTGTGGTTGTTGAGGCACTGGACTCCCAGATGGCTAACCTCAGACTGAGTCTGAGACCAGGCAGCTTGCTTTCACACTTCCTCCCTCCCTCCCTCCCTCCCTCCCTCCC